GGTGTCTATAGCCTGTCCCTGCAGGCCTTTTAATGTAAACACGGCGGCACTGCAGCACTGGCGTTGGTTAACATGGCAAATCATATGGCTGGGGCATTGTGATGTCACATGGGGGGCGGCAAACTTTACTTTTGCCTTGGGCGGCAAAAATCCTTGTACCAGCCCTGGCTGGAGGGGGCTGTGTGAGCTGTGGCCGCACAGTGTCCCATGGTAGTTAGGGTGCCGTATGCCAGTACAGCTCACTCAAGCAAACAGCTGATAACCGGTCAGCACGGAGGAAATGTGTATGTGTGACTGTCTGCCTGTGATTGTGTGTGACTGTCTGCCTGTAACCGAGTGTGTGACTGTCTGTCTGTAACGGAGTGTGTGACTGTCTGTCTGTAAAATGTGTGTGTGTGTGGGGCTGCAGGGATTTTGTAGAAGGATGGGGGTTTTGTATTGGGACAGGAGTCTCTTTATAAGGGGATAAGCAGGGGATTTGTGGAAGGCTATGCGGGTTTTGTAGATGGGGCAGTACAGCAGGATTTGTAGAAGGGCAGGACAGAGGTTTTGTAGATGGGGTGTGGGCAGACAAGGGTTTTGTAGGAGGGGCTGACAGTGGTTTTGCAAAGTTTACAAATTGTAAAAAAAAAGAAAGAAAACCTTTAACATTTTTTACAGGTTTTTTTTTTTTTTTTTTGGGTGGGGGGGGGGGTGCCAAGCACAGGATCCGCCCCGGGTGCCAAATGCTCTAGGTACGCCCCTGCCACCCTGATCTATTATTTTAGTTACCCAATCAAAAAAGATTAGTTTGGCATGATCTCCCTGAAGTAAACCCATGTTGTCTCTGATCTTGGAATCCATGTGTTTTTAGATGTTCATCAATCCTATCCTTTAACATGGTTTCCATCACTTTCCCCACTACTGAAGTAAGGCTTACTGGCCTATAGTTGCCCGACTCCTCCCTATTACCTTTCTTGTAAATGGGCACAACATTCGCTAACTTCCAATCTTCTGGGACTACTCCTGTTAACAATGATTGGTTAAATAAATCTGTTAATGGTTTTGCTAGTACACCACTAAGCTCTTTTAATAGCTTTGGGTGTATTCCATCAGGTCCCATTGACTTATTTGTCTTTACTTTTGACAGTTGAAATAGAACCTCTTCCTCTGTAAACTCACATCCTCTTATCCTCTTCTACATGCCTTCCTTCTTTTGTTTTTAATCTAACTAATCCTTGTTTTACTTTCCTTTTCTCATTTATGTATCTAAAAAAAATTTTGTCCCCTTTTTTTACTGACTGTGATATTTTCTCTTCTGTGTGTGATTTGGAAGCTCTTATAACTGGCTTAGCCTCTTTCTGCCTAATCTTATAGATCATTCTGTCTTCCTCACTCTGTTTTTTTTTTGTAATTACTAAACTTTTAGTTAGTTTAGTTTTTTACTATTTTGGCCACATCTGTGTTTTTTTGTTTTTACTGACAAGCCTAATGCAATTTTCTGTTGCCTTCAGCAGTGCAAATAAATAATCCCATTTCTATAGTACTCCATTTAAATTGTTCCAGTCTGATAATGACTCCTTTACACATATTCTAATTTGAGAAACGTCTGTTTTTCTAAAGTCTAAAACTTAGTTTTTGTGTGGTGTGACTCAGTCACTGTTCTTATATTAAACCACACTGACTAATGATCACTGGATCCTAAACTTTCACTTACAGTAATATCTGATACCAAATCTCCATTTGTTAACACTAAATCTAGTATGGCCTCTTTACGAGTTGGCTCCTCAACAATTTGTTTTAGAGACAATCCCAGTAGGGAGTTTAGAATATGTGTGCTCTTGGCACAAGCAGCTATTTTGGTTTTCCGACTATGTATGCCGTCTTGTGGTTAAGAGGGAGTTGTGTGGCGGAACCGCCACCTGTTCGTGAATCTCCCTTCTCTTTTACATGTTTTTCCCCTGTATTTTCATTCATTGTTCCCGCTCCCCATTCGGGAGTGCTTCCCCAAAGGGAATTCATCCACCTCCCGAACGGGGACTACCCCGATACCTCATTTAGAATGTTAGGTTAGAATGTTCACACCTCGTAACATAAGTGTCAAAACAAGAAACCGCAAGGGAAACAATTAATTAGTGCCCCCCTTAGGTGGCTGCCGCTGAGGGGGGAGCATTGGTGGATTGTTTCCTGACTTTTTTGTCTCCCAAACGAGGACCTCCCTGCTGCCCCATTGGAATGTTCACACCAATTAATCAGAACAATTGCACTTGCAATGTAGGTGTGAAACCACAAGGGAAGTAATTAATGAATGATCCCCTGGGTAGCCGCCATTCGTATAGATGAACGCCAGCCAGGGGGAGCATTCATACCCCGAAAGAAGATGCTTCCCTTGTCTGGGTTTCATACCAGGACCTTGAGAACGAAGACTAGTCGATCGAGGGAGCTTAAAACTGGTGTGCACACTTTTGGGGCACTGGCAAGTTTTGCGGCTCTCCCTTTTTTACCATGCCTGGACTCCCAGGCACAAAGTCTCCTGGGAAGAAGACCCCCTAGCAGATGGGGTGGAAAACCCTATGTTTAAGTGGTGGGCTTTGGGGACAAAGGGAGCACTTGGAAGGGGGAAGATCTTGGGATGTGACCCATGTGTGTGGCCAATAAAAGTGTGTTGTATCTCCAGGACTGTGTGTCGTCCACTTACTGGGGGGGTGGGGGGGAGAATGGTTCCTGACCAGCTGAAGGAAGGAAATTAGTGGAGGTAACAGGTTGGGTTACCCTTGGTCCACTACCCGCCCATTATGAAATAATAGACATAGATGGGTCCTTTGTTTGTTTCCCATATACTGGTATACTAGTGTTTTAACCAGCTGTAAAGTGTCTCTTTAGACAGATAGAATAGATTTTCTGGGTAAATATCTCTGCCAGTCTGCATACTAAGACAGGTAACTGTCATGGACAGGTAAGTCAACATGTGATCAGTGAAATATTATAAAAATGGTAAAGCAGAAAGAGGTGTTAACATATCTCCAAATAAATCTTTCACACCTTACAATACTGTAGAGGCAACAAGGGCACTTTAAAGGGAAGTCCAGTAGTCCTCACCACACCTGGTGAGAGCATTCAGAAAGGGCTCATCGGTGATGGATCCTCTGTGACATACAGTATAGCAGTTAAAATACCACACACTCTGCACCCTATGGGAGAGTTGATTCTATCGCCCAATGAGCATCTTAGGGAGACACCTGTCTGAGTGATTCCAAACATGACAACTAACCCCATGGATTTCACCTGTCCCTGTTCACCTACTTTCTTCTCTGGAGTCACTTTGCAGTCTGGTTATCTATCTTCATTAACCTGATTTTAAATGTGTGCTGTTTGGATGATATGAATTATTTAAATACATATTGCTAGAAACATTAGAAATATATATTGCTTATGTGGCTGATAGGAATGTTCCTGGACATGTGACCCCTAATAACCATGGTAGCTCTGACGTGTATACAAACGTTTTTATTTTAAACCTGGTCATTGCAGGTGGTATTTATATTTAAAAGATCAGATCTTGTATCCCTTTAAAACCAATGTAACCTAACTATAGAGCTTTTATTGTGAGTTCAAAAACATCAAAACATTCTATCTCATCTCATCCACTGCACCTTATCAGACTACCTACCACTTAAGTTGTTACTTACAAGTACTATTAGTAAATATGCTGATATAAGGAGGAGGGAGGTGAGCTATATAGTGTGATCTTCATGTAGACATCATACCCCAGCTCTCCTCTCCATCAACTTCTATAAGGACTGGGAGGGAGGTCTGTGTAAAGGGACACCTTAACACCAATCCCAGAATAGACTAACCAGGGCACATTTATCAGATAAATCGTTATGTGGAACCGATTCTCTTGATATCAGCAGATAATGGCGTATTAGATGAAACTGGTGCAAGCAACACCAAAAATGGGTCTTTGTGATACAACTCTTTTATCTCTGTGCATTTTATGGTGCGACACACGCAGAGGAGCTTTAGGTCTTCAAACGCATTGTATGGTGCGACCCAGGCAGAGGAGCTTTAGGTCTTCAAACATGTAGGTTATCTGGGAATACAGACCAGTTGAAATACATAATAGTGATAAAATGTATTAACAATTGGAGTAGATTTGCTTATTCCATCTTCTGCAACAATCACAAATCACAAATCTATATTCATTTCTACAAGCCGGAACCATATGTAATAATCAAATAAAGTTTTAAACTTATTAAGTGTAAGGTAGTAATGATTCACTAACTTAAATGTGGCTAAATTTGCCCATATAATCAGAGACCTATTGTGACCTTAACCAGCAACCAGTGACCTTGAAGGCACAACTGGGTATCTTCAAACCTCTTACATGAACCAAGACACCCCACGTGCTTGCAGGCCAAAGTGGTCTTCAGTCAGTCATTAGAGACCACCACAGTCTCGGATTATAAACATTTTTATTTGAACAGAATGTGATAATGTCTAAAACCTGCAATTTTGGGGTCTTTAAGGGCATGGAGACCCTACAATCCAAATTGGTGGTAGAATTGGATTCTACATCCTTGAGTAATCTAACCTCCAAGCATTTTGTTTCTCATAAAGAAATGGGTAAATAACTGTAATAAGGATATTGTAATAAGGGTATTAAGGATATTTATCATGATGAAACATTACAAAATTCAGACCTAGTATCCCCCATATTTTAATTAGTGAATCTTTTAGTATTGGAAAAGGTACTCCAATCACAATGAATAAAATGAACCCTCTATAAATGTGTCAAGGTATACATTCTTTCAACTAAATATTAAAAAAAAATCTTACTTTTACAGCAGTAGATGTTATTCTTTAACAGAAGGCATAACTTAAAGAAAGTCTGTCGTTTTTACAATTTGTTCCTCTGAGTGGAAAACTTATATTTAAAAAGTGCATTTTAAATATGAGCAAAATCACTTTTACTGCAACTGCAATTGTGCCAAAAATGTACTGTATTTGGTTATCATAGCTGCAATCCAAATAATGCTTTCAATGTCTTGTACGAAACCTATGGAACGTTGTTTTAAATAAATTGCCGTTCCTTCAAAAACTGTCTCGCAAACCATAACATACATACAAGTTTATCAAACATTGTAAGAAAAAGGTGCAGACTTGGTCAAGCAGGACGTCATGTTTCCTTTAACCTATAGGTTTAACACTAAACATGTGGTTATATGGAAATGTCAGACACATCGAGAGCAGCTTCTGTATTAATGTGTGAATTGTAAGCTGAGAGGCATACTGCCATGGGGTGAAACATACTGCCACAGGGTGAGACATACTGCCATTGGATGAGACATACTGCCACGGGGTGGGACATACCGCCACGGGGTGAGATACACTGCCACGGGGTGAGACATACTGCCACGGGGAGAGACATACTGCCATGGGGTGAGACATACTGCCATTGGGTTAGACATACTGCCATTGGGTTAGACATACTCCCATGGGGTGAGACATACTCCCATGGGGTGAGACATACTGCCATTGGGTGGGACATACTGCCATGGGGTGAGACATTGCCATTGGGTGGGACATACTGCCATTGGGTGGGACATACTGCCATTAGTTGAGACATACTGCCACAGGGTGAGACATACTGCCATGGGGTGAGACATACTGCCATTGGGTTAGACATACTCCCATGGGGTGAGACATACTGCCATTGGGTGGGACATACTGCCATGGGGAGAGACATACTGCCATGGGGTGAGACATACTGCCATTGGGTTAGACATACTCCCATGGGGTGAGACATACTGCGATAGGGTGAGACATACTGTCATTGGGTGGGACATACTGCCATTGGGAGAGACATACTGCCATGGGGTGAGACATACTGCCATTGGGTTAGACATACTCCCATGGGGTGAGACATACTGCCATGGGGTGAGACATACTGCCATGGGGTGAGACATACTGCCATGAGGTTAGACATACTCCCATGGGGAGAAACATACTGCCATTGGGTGGGACATACTGCCATGGGGAGAGACATACTGCCATGGGGTGAGACATACTGCCATTGGGTTAGACATACTCCCATGGGGTGAGACATACTGCCATTGGGTTAGACATGCTCCCATGGGGTGAGACATACTGCCATTGGGTGGGACATACTGCCATGGGGTGAGACATACTGCCATTGGGTGAGACATACTGCCATTGGGTGGGACATACTGCCATTGGGTGAGTCTTACTGCCATTGGGTGAGTCTTACTGCCACAGGGTGAGACATACTGCCATGGGGTGAGACATACTGCCATTGAGTTAGACATACCACCATGGGGAGAGACAAATGGTGGACACTTGGCATGAAAGTAAGTTGCACAGTTCAAGGAAAACAATATTTAATGAGGAAAGCACGATGTCACACTTAGAAACTATGACGAGGATCAATCAATAACCTGAATAATCGCAAATCTATCGTATCCGTCTATAAACTGTCAAAAGACAAATTAAATTTGTATCCTGGCTGCGTTCTTACATTTATAATGTCATTCTTGAAAGCCGATGGAAAATTGCCAATAAGAACAATTAGATTAACTGAAAAGGAGTATCTTTATAATCACTCATTATTATTATTAATAGAATTTATATAGCGCCAACATGTTCTGCAGCGCTGTACAATTATAAACACACAGAATATATGAGACGAGAGGTGACGAAGGCCCTGCTCATACGAGGCTACGATCTATGACAATGACTTATATTGCCATCGTGGTATCTTGTTAGAGCTTTGACCTCATGTTGGCTTGGCTTACAAGTCACTCTCGATGTCACACAATGTTACCAATAAAGCCAGCCGACTTTATTTCCTGTGTGCAGCTGTTTGTTGATATTTTGGTCCAGGAAAGCAGTAGCCGGGCTGGTCGGTGATGCCTTTTAGAAGATAAACCCATTAGTCTGTCATAGACGTTTACAGGATTTTTATAACTTGTGAAAATCATGTATCCCAATAAGTATTTGAAGTGAAGATTTATTATATGTGTTTGGTAAAAGGTATCACCATTCACACCTAGCTCACTCATGTGCAACAGTATACTCTCTATGAGCAGATACAAAACTGTGACAAACCAACCAGCCGGGTGCTGAGACGGACAGAGACAGAGAGAAGGGACAGAAAAAGCCGACAGGCTGCAAGGAAGAAAAGCAAGCAGGTAAAACGACTCAATACACGTCTTATTCCCAACATCTAACAGTCTTCTTCGTCGATCTGGCACATGAAGTGTTTCCCTGATGGAACGCAAATCAGGTTGTCAGGACAGGGCATGGCGTCGCAATCCATCGTCCCATCGTGTTTGCAGATACATTTGGTGCTGCATGTGTCGTCCCTCCACACAGACTGTCCGAACTGCATGTAACTGGCTGAATTAGGAAACAAATACAGAAAATGTTACAAATGTTTGTATGTTTATTGATAGGAAATGAATTGTTTTACCTATGCAATGCTTAGTGAATAGACATACAGAGCTATAAATAAATATATATTAACCTATAGAGGTATTGCATACTGAGACGTGGATTTAATAACATATATTATCTTGTATCTACAAATACCTTCACAGGTCTTCCTCGATGGTGGGAGGGGGGCGAGGGAATAGAGGTGAAGTGCTAATTAAAGGCTCAAAGGTGTAATTAGTACACCTGGAGATACCTCGCCTAACTCTTAGTTAAGTCTTTCCACGCCTGCATGGGTTAAAAGCAGTGGCGTACACATGACCTATGGGGCCCCGGTGCAAAAATTGATCCGTGGGCCCCCCCCCGCGCTTACTCTGCGTGGGTTGGGCCGCATCACATGGCGGTGGGCACCTGGTCGCAGGGGTTGCAGGGCTGCGACCCCGCGACCGCGGTATGCACACACACTTAAAGGACCACTACAGACACCCAGATCACATCAGCTCAATGAAGTGGTCTGGGTGCCAGGTCCCTCTAGTTTTAACCCTGCAGCTGAAAACATAGCCGTTTCAGAGAAACGGCTATGTTTCACTGAGGGTTAATCCAGCCTCTGGTGGCTGTCTCATTGACAGCTGCTAGAGGAGCTTCCGCGATTCTCACTGTGAAAATCACAGTGAGAAGACACTGAACGTCCATAGGAAAGCATTGAGTAATGCTTTCCTATGGGCGGTTTAAATGCGCGCGCGCCTCTTGCCGCGCATGTGCATTCGGAGCTGAGAGGCGGACACTGGGGAGTCCGACGCTGGAGAAAGGTAAATGCTGAAGACACACACACACACTCTCTCACGAACAGACGCATACACACTAGCTAACAGACACACATTTACTGACAGAGACACACTCAGCGACAGACATACATACACACTCACTTACAAAACATACACTTTCACTGACAAACACACACTCACTAACAAACATCAAACACACTCAGTAACAGACACACACAGTAACACACTCACTAGCAGACACACACCCAATAACAGACACACTCACTGACACACACTAACACGCACTAACACAAACACTAATACACACACTAACACACACACACATACACTAACACACACACACATACACTAACACACACATACACTAATACACTAACACACATACACTAACACACACACTAACACACTAACACACACACACACACTAACACACACATACACTATACACACACTAACACACACACACACACTTTACACACTAACACACACACATACACTAACACACACACACACACACACACACACGCACACACTAACACACACATACACTAACACACACACACTAACACACACACACACACACACACACACACACTCACACACACACACACACTCACACACACACACACTAACACACACACACACTCATACACTAACACACACTAACACACACACTTTTTTTTTTAAATTTAATCCCCTCAGCCTCCTTACCTTTTGGGGTGCTGGGGGGATTCCCTGGGGTCCAGTGGTGCTGCTGGGCTCCTGGGTGGGCTGGCTGTCTGGGCTGGCGGGCGCGCTAGGGAGCACTTTCCCCTGTGTGCTTCCTCTTCAGCTCCCTCGCGCGCCGCGTAGGGATGCCGGCGCCAGAAGATGACGTCATCTTCCGGCTCCGGCATCAGTGCGGTGCGCGAGGGAGCTGAAGAGGAAGCACACAGGGGAAAGTGCTTCCTCGCACACCGGCCGCCCAGACAGCCCGCCCGCTGGGGTCAGCAGGGCCAGCCTCGGGGGCCCCCCAGGAGAAGAGGCTGCCCCTGTGGGTACATACCGGGTCGCAGGGGCGGCCGGGCCCCCTGGTGGGCCGGGCCCGGTCGCAGCCGCGACCCCTGCGACCCTGGTATGTACGCCACTGGTTAAAAGTATGAATTCTCTCCCCTGTCTGCTATCCATTGAAAGTCCAATCTCCCTTTTTATTCTCATAGATCAAGCTGACACAGAGACACTCAGACAGCATTTTTCAAAGATAGGACGAGCTAGACATGCGCAGTAGATTTACTGCAATACGATATGTTATCTGAGAATATTATACTGTTTGCCCTGAAAATGCTATGATTGGTTGATATCGTCTTCTGTTGGATACACACCTATGAATACTGTGTTTCATATATATGCTGTACCCGCATTAAAGAAAGCTACTATTCTCTTGAACTTTATCTGACTGGCGTGTGCATTGATTGTTGATTGAAAAGAGGAACGCAGAATGGGCTAATGCATAACTCCACAGACCCTGCATAAGGTTACAGACCCTGTAAAATTTTGCAGCCTAACATTTATACTGTGTGTTTATGTTTCATGAGATGTGTGTTTACACACTCAGCTATTCATTGAAACACAGAATGTGTTATATGACTAGCACAGACAGAACATGGCCCTGGAACACAGCCCTAGAACACGGCCCTGGAACACAGCCCTGGAACACGGCCCTGGAACACGGCCCTGGAACACGGCCCTGGAACACGGCCCTGGAACACGGCCCTGGAACACGGCCCTGGAACACAGCCCTAGAACATGGCCCTAGAACACTGCCCTAGAACACGGCCCTAGAACACGACCCTAGAACACAGCCCTAGAACACAGCTCTGAAACAGCTCTGGAACACAGTCCTAGAACACAGCTCTGGAGCACAACTCAGGAAAACAGCCCTAGAACAGAGTCCTGGAACACAGCCCTGGAACACAGCTCTGGAACAGAGTCCTAGAACACAGCATTGGAACAAAGTCCTAGAACACAGCCCTGGAACACAGCTCTGAAACAGCTCTGGAACACAGTCCTAGAACACAGCTCTGAAACACAGCCCTAGAACACAGCTCTGGAGCACAACTCAGGAAAACAGCCCTAAAACACAGCCCTGGAACAGAGTCCTGGAACACAGCCCTGGAACACAGCTCTGGAACAAAGTCCTGGAACAGAATCCTAGAACACAGCTCACAATAAGCTTAATCATGTTTGTTTCTGGAAGTTGAGCAACTTGGAGAAATTACCAAAACATTTCCATATTGAACTTCCCTACCTTCGAAAATGCATCCTCCTGGCATTTTGAATTCATCCACTTGGAAGATCCATCGGCCGGGAGTATCCACGTTACTGCTAGTCTTGACGTTAAGGATGTGATCGGTCTGGGAGCCCGGAATGCTGAAGTGGTTGCCTTTAGTATTGAATCCAGCCTGTAGGAATTCAGAACATTATAATTTCCACTCAACAAATAAAATATTAACCAGATAATTTAACCAGTAATCCATCTCCACTGCCCAAGTACAAAATAAATAAAAATCATTGGTGAGTAAATATACCCCCAATTAAACATGCATTTAATTATACCTTTTTTCATCAGGGGTAAATCTAAAACAGCCTTTAAAAGTCCTCCCTTTCTAACCCCGCCCAGACTTCCCAATGCAGCTCAATGAGAAATCTTTGTGTAACGGAGCTCCCCGTACTCCGACGGCGTACCTTCAGTTGATGGACGTAGCGGAGAGCTGCTATTACACAGGTTATCTCCACTTTAGATCCCAGTAAGGCTCAGGAACAAGTATTATAAATCCATAAGGTAATATTTCCAGCAGGCAAAACATTCCAACAATATCCCAACCTCAATCCCAATGACTGGACGACACACAGCATCAGCAGCAGAACTGAACTTTTAATCACACAGATTCCTTATAAAGGCTTCTCCCATGCAAGGGAGGGATTTACAATAATTAGGACAGTAGCCAATAGTACAGTAGTTACCTCCCATACATCTCCTCCCCTCAGTGTGACACATAATCCACTTATCTCTGTTACAGTTTTACCCGGTTTCTGGATGTACCCTAAAACTGTGCGGTACAATTATCTAAGTGACACCCCCTGGTAGCCCTGATCTGAGTGACTAACATATTTAAAATTCACCCAGATCGGACCAGGGGTTCGGGAGTTATGTGGAAGAGACAATTTGACCGACCGCAAATGAGGTGGTAGCCGAAAAGGGTTCCATGTGTTTTGGCCCTGCGGTCGGTCTCCGTTCAGGAGATAAAACATACATAACTCTTTGCCATCCACTATTAAAATGGTGTTCGTATGAATCCCCTTGTTCGGTACGTTGACTTCACCGAACGAGGGGCTGGTTGGCCCC